AAACGATTGCCTCTATTGATCCCCCCTTCCTGCAATTACAGCCCCATTGTTTACATTCCAGCACTTCAGTTATAAAAAGGAAATTCAATAATTATTGCATTATTTAAAGTTAAAGTGCCACAGAGTTTGCTGGCTATGCTTGCTGGTTGATTTAACGTTCAGTAAAATCCATGCTGAGCTCTCCATCCTTGGGCTGAGCAATATTTGGCTTTTAATGAGACTTCAAGGGCTGGTGGAGCAAGCCCCATTTGCTGGGTCGCTTTTGGGTTTGTGGGGGATCCCAAAACCTTGCAGCACGGCTACATGGCTAACAAGGAGAGCAAGTGGCGTTCAGTTATTGCAGGCAGGGCTGGAGGGCTCAGGAAATACAGATGTGCTGGGGTGTAGGGATGGGCTGTTAATGGGGACAGTTGTGTCTGTTCTTGGGAACTTGGCCTGGTACCTCAGGCTCTGTGGCACAAGGGAGTGCCACATTCCCAGCCTCTAGGTAAGAAAGATAAGGATAAGATAAGCAGTTGCCACAAGCTCAGGGAGTGCTGGCGCTGCAGCACGGAGGCAGGAGCAGGGCAGGGTTTGTAACCCTGCTCCTCTGGAAACAGTAAACAATTCAGCACGTTGGTTGGATATGACAGAGCAGAAGTTGAGCTTTTGGAGGTGCTGCTGGATGCCGGGTCGCTTTCCCCCTTGCAGGAGGGGAGGCTGCTGGCGCTGCAGCCCTGCCCAGCGCGGGTCCCACTGCCGCCCCCCGCCCAGGAAATTCCAGCTGGGGCTGCAGGTGTGAAAGGAGAGCAAGATGGATTGGCCAGCCCTGACTTTTATGGAGTACTTGGAACAGACCAGCATCAGACAGCTGCATCCACATGACTTTCATTAAAAATTCAGATTCTTCTCTTGCAGGGCTGTGTGATTTATCTTGTGCAGCACATCAGAGGCACACGGGGCCGGGAGATGCTCGCGAGGCCCCTGAGGTCTGCAGCGGGGTCGGGTCCCTTTCTGTGGTGACCCACAGCCCCCGCTGTAGGGGTCACCTCGTGTCCCTCCCCAGGGCCGCACAGTCCTCGTGGCACTGAGGGGTTTCCTACCAAGCCTGTGACTGATTGCCCCTGTCTGACCTCACTCCGAGCAAGAGGCAGTCTCTGGGTTTCTCTGTGCTGCGGGTCTGCTGGCAGGGCTGCAGTGGTTCCAGCAGCTCCTGAGCCTGGGGCAGCTTCTCGGAGTGAACGCTGAGGCTCTGCCTGCTTCGTGTGCTGGTTCTGCTCGCTGGGGCTGCTCAGCATCGGTGCTTGTAGGACGAAGCCACCGCAGTGCACCTCTGTGGTGCTGCTTCTTTCCGTGGCTTTTGTGACCTTCCAGCAGATTTTTGGCTCCTTCTTCCCCAGCTGCATCTGTCAATTCTTTGAAATCACTGCTTTACCCATCCTAACAGAGCTGAGTGCTGAGTTCAGAGGTACAAAAAGTGTTACATGTGGAGAAAATCTCTGCCAATGTTGAAGCCTGACAATGTCTTTTTCAAGAAGCTCCGGTTAGTGGAGTGGGCTTTGTATTCATGGCAGGGTATGCTGTGAAGTGGGAGTGCTGGCAAGTGCTGTGGAGGAGCTTTCTGCAGACTGCCAGTGACCCTGTGAGTTGTACCCTGTGAGCATTTTCTGCTTAGCAGAATAAAGCAATTCTGAGGCAGACACTGGACAGTGATGGCTGGACAGTTGGTGTGGCGAGAC